AACCCATGGTAGCAAACACGGTTAAACTTTATCTAATAATAGTTCAGACTCTTCTATCAGATGTTCCTTAAAAGCTTCAGCAACAGTACTGAATCTAATAGTTCAGACTTCGAACAGAAAACTTAATATCTAGTCATTGACGGAACTAAAGCACGAGGATATATAATCACAATATTGCACAGAGCTTGCCCGTTGCCAAAGTTACTACCGAAATCTCTAGCAATACGTGTAACCTATTAACCATTTCAATGGTGCAGAATAAGTATAACACTCTAAAAATACAAAAACCAACAGGGACATAATTAGTGAGAGGGCAAATCAAATTGTAGGGGTCAAATAAGAACTATGGATTAAAAAAAATAATAATAATAAATCTTCAGCTTACCAGAGCAGGAATGAAGATAAACAGGGAGTAGCCATACAGACAAAGCAGCTGAACGAGGCCAGATGGGGCAGAGAAGTATTTGAGGACAATATACAACACAAGCGGCACTAATGTGACATAGCCATAGAACAAACCAGCAGACCAGGTCACGAGATTGATGTCATAGTCCCATTCCTTCTTTTGCAGCTTGTGTGCTATGTAGGTGACAAATGTACCAATGGAAGCCGCCACAAATATCAAGGTGGTGCATATCCAGAAAGGCCCGTATCTGACAAAGTGTTATATACCATGTATTGGAAGCTAAGTGAACGGTGGTAAACGAAAATAAAAAAGCTGGATTTGATAACAACATCTGAAGAATGCGACTCGACAACATAATGAGAACAAACACTAAAGTTGTAGAAGTCGGATGAAGTTGGTTACAAAGATAGTGGATAAACTATTCAGGAATGGAGTAGTTGTCTTACTTCATCTTGTTATCTTCCAATTAAACCAAACCCCATTCAACATATACTTTATGACACATAAGGGATCACTATATAGGACCATGGTAAAAGTTAAAACTGAACCACAAATTTAAGTAATAAGCTAAAAAGCAAAACTTCCGATTATGTAAAGATGGCATACACTTGAAGCATTACCTCTCTTAAATGATACACAAAGGGTCAAACTCTACACTGACCCTTTGTATAGATAATCATCAGAAAGATGTATGTTATTCCATTATCGACTTAATATGCCCAGCTCCATAAAGCAAAAGGAAATATATTCAAAACAAACAATCAAGTACTTTTGGAAAGTATACATAATTGATAATTGCAAGAAAACGATGCAACACAGCAAGACTTACAAATCTGGGTTGCTGGCAGTCTTCTCGGAGAAGCTTCCTCTGAAAGGAAAGAGTGAATCTCTGATCCTTTCTAGAACATCAGACGTGTCAACATCAAAGTAGGGCCTGTATGCAGCAATTGTGAACGATTGGAACCAACCATTCTGCTGGGGCTCATCAGAACCAGATACAGGTTTGCTAAATGTGTCTAAACGAACAAAGCAAAGCATGATTTTTAGTTTCCTTATTGCAAACCATAACTCAAATAGAAGAGAATAAAATCAAATATAAAACTAATTAAAAATACAGTTGGGAAGTATATGAATAGTTGAAGAAAAATCATTGAACTTGGTCATATACTTGAATAATTCATCCATATCTTTTGTCAACGAAGGGTGGTTAGCTTTTCTTTAAATGATCAAATAAATTCTAGAAAAGCTGATTCTGACCCCTAAAAGAAACACGAAGAATAGCAATAGCTGATATTAGTCTTCAGAGTCCTCAGTACATCTTATATGCATGCCAGTAAAGTTCCACATGTGGAAATCCCCCAATAAACGAACCTTCTACTCTCGAAAATCTAATTTAGAGAATCTCGCTGAGTATACAGCTATTTAAAAATTTAGAGCACCACGTCTAACATTTTTCGGTTTATATCATCAATACAGTTATATATTTGGAAGTGAGCATCTTGTCTTCTCCAATTCCAAATCATTCTTTACAAGCTTCAACAAGCAATGTATTATGATCCAAGGCCATTCCCTGTCCAAACTTCATATCCTCAGAGTCCAATCATTGGTAGATAACAGACATAACAATTCAAAAGTATGCGATCTACAATCAAGAAGAGGAAACCCAATAATCATCTCCATGCCATATTTCTCTACCATCTTATATCATCAAACGGTGCATGCTTATCTAATTCTGAATGTTTGGGGCATCCTAATATAGCTATGGCAGGGTTCACAAGAGCCAATTCAGAAACAGACCTACTTTCCCAATTTGCAGCACAGCTCAGAATCGCCCAAAATCAATCTTAATGGCATCACCATTGTATAAAGTCAACAAATAATTTAAATAAAATACCATCAGCATCACGAGGGGGTCCCGAGGCAGCAGATATCTTCCCCTGAGATCCGGCCGGCGTAAAAGTCTGCAGACTGGAATCTACGCAAACATCACCACACAAATCACAATCAAACTATAAATTAATCAACTCAAAATAATTACAATTAATAATAATTAACCAACCGGTAAACTTTACAGCAACGTGGGAAGGCCGATCGCTGACGGCCTGCAACAACATAAATCCATCATGGAAATCAATCATATACAAAGGGCAAAATGGTGATAGAATGTTAGATCTATGACCAGAAGCTCAAAAACAAATAATGCGAGGAAAAAAGTTACCGGCACAGATCCGGAGACGTTTTGATTGTCGATGGATGAGTAGTTGCCGGACATCATCTCCGATCAAAGTCGTTTAATCGCCAAATTATGACGATGATGCGTCGTGTACATATATGTTTAAGCGTGTGTGATTTTGAAAAGGGCAGCAATAGGTAGAAAATTTTCTGAAGAGCCTACAGGTTTGCGGATTATATCAGGTGTAGCAAATTTAATTCAGCTATCTATAAGACTATATCTAGAGGTGTCTAACAGCTGGGCCGGTTCAAGACCCGGTCCAGCCCGCCGTGTCGGCCGGCCTCAAATGTTAGGCCCGTAACCGGCCCAGCTATTCCTATAGGTCGGTTCTTTGAACCGGCGTTGACCCGCCGGTTTCAGTCGGTTCCGATGGTTNAAAAAAAAAAAAGAATGGAAAGAACCTAATGTTGAATCCAAGCGAAAACGAAACATCGATGAGAGATAAAACGATGGGTAAGTGAAAAACATGTGCATAAATGCTATTGACGGATATAACAATATTGTTTAACCATTTCGAAAAATAATCATGAGCTTCAAAAGCATGTGTCCAATATTCGGGAAAATCGTCCCATTGTGGTTTCCATTGTCGGACACAACTAATCATCAACCATCGTTTTGTTTTCGCGCGAACCGTGACGGGAATAAAAATTTAGCTTTCATTATCCTCGCCACTGATTTTCGCTCCAACATAATTTAAAAGTTGACCATCAAATCAAAACAGTAACATCAATGACGCCAATGATGCCACGTCCACAGTCTATATTATGTATCATCTTTTAACTCTCTCATACGACTACAAAAGAGCAATATAGAGAAAGTACACATAGACTAACAACAACAAACTTCACGGATTGAAGAATCTGTATGTCGGCCTGTCTGAGCGTTCTCTTATTGCTCTATTGTAGACGTATGAGAGAGTTAGAACCATGATACATAATGGAGGTATGGGCATGGCATCATTAGCGTCATTGATGTTACTGGTTTGATTTGATGTTCAACTTTTAAAATGTGTTGGAGCGAAAATCTATCGAGGATTCTGAGAGCTAAATTGTTATTCACGTCACGGTGACCCGAAAACGAATTGGCGGTTGATGATGAGCTGTGTCCGACAATGGAAACCACAACGAGACGATACTCCCGAATACTATGCACATGTTTTTCAAGCTCATGATTCTTTTTCAAAATGGTTAAGCAATATTGTTATATCCGTCAATGGCATTTATGCACATGTTTTTCACCGACCACGCCTTTGGCACAATATCGCATGATTTTAAACAATATTGTTATATCCGTCACAACATTAGGTGAATCCCAAATCTCCAAGAAAATAATATAATTATTAATCTCCAAGAATCAGCCAATATCTTCCAAGATTCTCGACCATCTTCTAGAAGGATCTCTGTTAGCTTGCTCCTTAAGTCACGCCGACCCCTCTTGCGTCCCAAGCTTCTTGCGCCCGTCTCCATGGCCATGTGCGTGCCTTTTTGCACCTTCACTCGGGTCTTATCAGGTCGTCTCGGCCCTCGACCCTTTGCGTCCTTGGAGGTCCAAACCTCTATTCTCATCATTCTCACTCCTTTTGTGTATGTTCTTGTCCTCAAGGACTCATCAATTTGCGTCAACCGGGGCACTTCTTCCTCATCATCCGCATCAACATCCATGTGCATCTCCACTTCATTGAAAATTGGCGGGCCATCGTAACAGGTCGACACCAGCTCCTCCCCGAACTCGACGTCAAATAGAGGCGGTCCTTCATATCGATGGACACCTGCTCGTTCACGGGCTCGGTGATTCCACTACTTTCAATCAACTTTCTCATACTTTTACATCAAAATAATGTTAATCATTAATTTTATTTTAAACAATACTTTAATACAAAATCAAAATTCCACTCAAACTAACTAAACCATTTTTTTGAAAATCATCTCTGGTTAATCAACAAAACCAATCAAAATCAAATTTGTTTGTATCTAAACACCCTCTAAAATATCACTTCTGAATTGTTTCATATTGAATAACTAGAAAAAATAAGTCTAATTTATAAGTCTGGTGATCATTAGTCCTCTCATTATCAGTTAACTTTCGGATGAAACTTTAATAAGGTGACAATAGACTCGCCCTCACCCATTCTTCCGAACATCCTTTGAATTTGTAATTTTAATATAGATATTTTTTATTTTGGTTTTGAATTCCATTTTTAGTCATCCTGTTATTGTGTGTATTTGTGTATTTACCGTACTAGCATTAGGTTATCTGTAGTCCTAATTTTGTGTATATATTATTAATTTATAGAGAGTTGTATCATCCGATTGAGATGATCTTTCCCACACACGTCTCTATTGTATCATGATATTAGAGCCTATTTATCTCGATCGCCAATTTTATTTTTTTTAACCACTGGAGAACGCCGCATTTGCACGAGAACCACTCTTGCTGCGAGCTCCACCACGACAGCCACCACCAGAATTACAACCGCGGCCACCACTGGTGCCGAAATCAGATGTTGAAAACGCAATCATGACAAATCAATACTTGCAATAAACAAGCAGCAACCTTGATGGTTTTTTTTTCGTGATTTTTTTTCTTTGCAATCAGATTTTTGACAAATTTTTGCAATCCATCAGATGTTTTACAATGAAAAACTCAAACAGGAATGCAATCAGATTGTNAAAAAAAAAAAGAACAGTGGATGGCCGATGCTGCTAAGCGTTGGGAAGTTCACCAGATGGATGTTCACAATGCTTTTCTTCATGGTGATTTGGCTGAGAAGGTTTACATGAAGTTTTCCCATGGTTTTCGCTCTGGCGTTCATGGGCAGGTTTTCCGTCTTCGTCATTCCTTCTATGGCTTGAAGCAGGCTCCCCGTTGCTGGTTTGCCATGTTGTTTACGGCTTTGAAGCAGTATGGTTTTTGTTAGTCCTAAGGACCACTCTTTTTTTACACTGCATCGTGGTTCTATCCATCTGCAGGTCCTGGTCTATGTTGATGATCTGATTGTTTTCGGGAATGATACCACATCCATTGCGGCCGTTACTTGAGTCGTTGTTTTCACATGAAGGATCTTGGGCTGCTTAGTATTTTCTGGGTATCGAGGTTGCCCGGAATTCTTTTGGCTTCTTTCTCTGTCAGCGGAAGTATGCTCTTGACATCATAGCTGAGGTCGGACTACTAGGGAGCAAGCCAACTGATTTTCCATTAGAGGAGAATCATCAGCTCCCTCTTGTTGAGGGTGATCTATTATTTGATCCCGAGAAATATCGTCGTTTAGTCGGACATCTTATCTATCCGGCAGTGACTCGACCTGAGTTGTCTTACTCGGTGCATATGCTCTCTCAATTTATGCACCAACCATGTCAGGCTCACTGGGACTCTACTCTTCGTGTGGTTCGATATTTAAAAGGCTCTCATGGTCAGGGGATTCATCTTCGTACTGACTGTGATCTTCAACTCTATGCATGGTGTGATTCAGATTGGGCGTCTTGCCCTCTCACTCAGCGCTTTGTTTTGGTTGGTTTATTCAGCTGGGTCAGTCTCCTGTTTCTTAGCGAACCAAGAAACTACCTACCATGGCACGCTCTTCTGCTGAGGCTGAATATCGGGCGATGGCTACTACATTTGCGAGTTGAAGTGGTTACGGGGAATGTTATCTACTCTTGGTGTCGCTCACTCTCAGCCTATGCAGTTACACTGTGACAGTTAATCTGCACTGCAAATTGCGGCGAATCTAGTTTTTCACAAGCGCACTAAGCACATTGAGATGGACTGACACTTTGTTCGAGATGTTGTTCTTCAGGGTCTCATTTCTACTACTCATGTTTCTTTTGGGGCGCAACTCACTGACATCTTCACCAAGGCGCTTGAGAAGCGTGAATTTGATTTCTTTCTTGGCAAGTTGGACATTCAGAATCCGTGCTCCAACTTGAGAGTGGGTGTTATTATGTATATTTGTGTATTTACCGTATTAGCCTTAGGTATCTGTAGCCCTAATTTTGTGTATATATTCTTGGTTTATAGAGAGTTGTATCATCCGATTGAAATGATCTTTCCCACACACGTCTCTTCTCTCTCGTATCACATCCTTAATATAACATACCTAGCACCTGCATATACTGTAAAAAATCTTGACCAATAAAAAAGTTATTAAGACTAATTTATCAATGGTCTTAAAAACCTATACAATATTTCGTATAATGAATGATGAAGGCGAGGAGAAAAACTTAAGCTCACAGCTCACATGAGAGTTTAAAAGTAACAAAAAGAAAAATATGTTGTTACCAACTTTACCATTCGATTCCAATTCACCGGATTTGAATCACAATAAATTACAGGTGGGACGAGACTATCATTCCTAATGCGGACTACAATAATCTATATCTATATATATATATAATAAGAATTAACATTTATCAAAAATAGTAAGTCAATCTTTGGTCAAAACTGATCAACATTAATTACATGCTATTTATAGTATATTGTTAATATTTTTTTACTAAAAAATGAACACCATTAAATGTTGTCCTTAAAATGAAGAGTTTGTATTCGATCTATTGAATATTTGCGATGGTTTGACACGATGTGCATATCAAAAACTGATAATGCACGGGCTACATCAATTAAATTTGGTTATTGATTACAATAAGCTATTTTTAAATCTGAATAAAAATGTACGTCACGACTGCTAATTCAATTAAACATCGGCCAATTATATTCTCCAAATTTAAAACTAGATATTCGGCTAATACAATTGATTTGCTTGACAGTTTTTTTTAATAAAAAAATTACGACTGATTTAATAATAAAAAAACTTATGTGTTATTTTTTCTAACCATAAGAAATATGCCTTTTATTTTCAAAATATCGGAAATTTTTTTTTTTTCTATAAAATCGGCTAATACATATGTTTTGATTAGCAAATTTTATTTAAACAAAATTACGGCTAATTTAAAGGTAAAATTAAAAAAAAAAAATCATTTGTTTATTTCTTTTGAAAATATTTTTTCTAACCATCAAATCGGGCAGTTTCAATTAAAAGAATAAAGTTGCGGCTATTCAATTGTTTTGTTTGACAATTATTTATAAAGAAAAATAATACACGGGTCTAATTTTGAAACGATCAAAATTGTTATGGTCTTTGTATAAATCAAAGATTTGAAATAAGAATAATCTCCATATTTAAATTGCTTTAATTGTAAAACGTGATGTATACAAGATTTAGATAGATTTACCACATATCA